TAGACCCTCTTTCACTCAGCCCCCCCCCCAATCAAACTCAGCTCCCCCCAAATCAAAATCCTGGCTACGGGCCTGCCTAGCAGTATGTGGGTTTGAAAGATGACAAAGACATTGGTGAGAAGGATATGTTTTGTTTTTAATGCGTTTATTGTTTTTCTTTCTCTGAAATGGAAAGCATCCTCAAAGTGTAAAAGAAGGTGTAGAAGCAGCTTGGTGTGAAGTGGCTGTGGTGATGCAGAATGGGAGGAGATAGCTGAGAAGAAGATAAAACGTTAAGCAATTCTCCCTACAACTGCAACTTGTCATCAGATCCCAATATCAGCACAGGGTTGTTGTCATTACAAGCTTTCAAGTCAACCATGACTTATAGCAATTCTAATATAGGTTTTCTTGGATCAATGTGTTCAGAGAAGGTTTGTCATTACTTTCCTCTGAAGGTAGTCAACAGCATTGGTATTCCTCAGTGGAATCTCTTCCATATACTAACCTGACCCTACTTAGCTTCTCAGATGAGACAGGATCATGATCTTTCATGACATTTAGTTACTTTTCTGTAAAGACAACAGCAAAACCAAGTGTCAGGGTACAGAATGTGTTTCTGCCATGACTAATGTTCTGTCCACGCCTGTAGTCTTGCATATATCTTCTGCTGAAAACACACAGGTAATTCAGTGTCAAAGAACAGAGAGGGACATGAAGGTTTAGGATGGGCAGTTCCAGAGGTTTAAGACATTTTTGTTGTCCAATGAGTCATGCTGTCCAAAATCTGCAAAATGATACAAAACCTTGGGCATGGCAGATATGGCAGATTTTTCCATCAACCCCCCCCCCCCCCCCCCCCCCCGGAATATATTTAATGTAATAGAGGATAGAGCCTCTTACCCATTTGCTCTGATTGCTACCTTTTTGAGAAGAGATAAAGAGTGTCCCAGAGGATAGGAAGAGAGAGTATGGACAAATAAAAGGGTAATGTGGCTCCACGTCACCCACTGCTCTTTTAGACATAACTGAGCATCTAGGCTTGAGAGTATACGGTATATATTCTATAGAATGAAGTGGTAAACACTTTTCTGGACAATGTAACTTCACGCTGGAGGAAGCTTCCCATGTTTGCAAGACTGTCCCCTCCTGGAGGAAATGAGTTCAATCTCCCTGCATGTAGTTAAAGCGGGGCGGGGCAGAGAAAGAGGGAAAAGACTACCCAAAGTCTTCCCCTAGCAGTATTTCTCAACCTGAGGTTCAGGACCCCTGGGGGGTCATGAGGGGGTTTCAGAGGGGTCGCCAAAGACCATCAGAAAAAAAACATTTCTGATGGTCTTAGGAACCCCTTTGGCAGAGAAGGCTGAAGATCTCTCTGCCTGTCCTGCTCTTCCTTTTTGGAAACAGACAGTGAATCCTCCCACCAAAAGCCTTCCTCCACTGTGATTGGCCGGCCCCTCAGCCAAGGAGAGGGCTGTTTCTGAGACTCCCAGAGGGGAAGGGAGAGCAAGCATACTTGGTGCATGACAACATAGTGCACATCTGTGGGTGAAGGAGAGTGTGCGAGACTGGAGGGAGGCTTGTGCTAGTGAGTCCCTTCAAGACATGGGGGTTCTGTGTGGGAAGTTTGGCCCAATTCTATCATTGATGGGGTTCAGAATTCTCTTTGATTTTAAGTGAACTATAAATCCCAGCAACTACAACTCCCAAATGTCAAGATCTATTTTCCCCAAACTCCACCAGTGTTCACATTTGGGCATATTGAGTATTCGTGCCAAATTTGGTCCAAATCTATCATTGTTTGAGTCCACAGTGCTCTCTGGATGTAGGTGAACTACAACTCCAAATCTCAATGTCAATGCCCACCAAACCCTTCCAGTATTTTCTCTTGGTCATAGGAGTTCTGTGTATCAAGTTTGGTTTAATTCCATCGTTGGTGAAGTTCAGAATGCTCTTTGATTGTAGATGAACTATAAATCCCAGCAACTACAACTCCCAAATGATAAAACCAATCCCCCTAAACCCCACCAGTATTCAAATTAGGGTGTATCAGGTATTTGTGGCAAATTTATGAATAAGGATATTTAGAAATGTAATCTGCCACTTCTAGTTTCAAGTGATGTAACCTGGAAGAACTTCACTACTTGATTTTGAGGAATGTATAAACGGGCACAGAGGAATATTGGACTACACAAATCTGCCTTTCTCTTCTCTGAAAGAAGGAACTTTTCAGGCCTCTGTTTCATTTCAAGTTCACCAAATGTTATGACCTCACTGCTTCTTCTCAGATCCCAGTGTCTATCAGAAGTTTGACCTGTCCACCACGAAGAGACTGTTTTTATTTATTTTTGTTTAACATTTTGTCATTGGCTGCCACTCATTTTAGCTATAAAGAGTGATAAGCAAGCGAAACTGGGCTCTCTTGGTCCCGGACTAATAGTCACCGTTTTGGCTGGTGAACATGCTAAAAGTGTATTTGTACATAGAGAGAGTCTTTGCTGCCAATCAAACACTGTCTCTGTGTCCCAGCCCTGCTAGGCTCGGCTCTCTAAGCAACTCCAGTGCATGGAGATGGACTGACAGCTCGGTAATTGGGAAGGGAGCAGACAGCAGCTCAAGCTCTCCATGTTTAACTCTCTGTATTTGCAAAAGGAAATAGGGAATGTATTTCCTGCGGCGGGAACACCAAGAACCCCTGAGATCAGGTGTGCCTCTCTATCCAGAAGATAAATGTAATAGGGAAATCACCACCACTTCCTTTCCACTTCCACTGTAGGTGCTGAGAGGTGTGAAAGAAAAAGCCACTGTAAGGCTGAAACCATGTTTTGACCCACTGCAAAGAACTGCAACAGCATGCAATAAAATACAATCTGCACTCCGAGTCTGTTCAAAATTGAATTAAATTCAGGAGAAATAACACATAAATAATGATGTTAAATGCCTGGGTGAATAATTCTGATTTGGCCTAGTACTTTACATTTGCAGGTCTGTGGGTCTAAACTGCAGGAGCAAAGAGAGAATTAAGCAGAAGAGGTTCAGTCACAGAATGACCCTGTTCCTTAGTCACTATTTATGTGAACTCAGCAGGAAGGCAGAATTCTACAAGAAGGGCATCACTAAGCCATCTTAAAATATAAAATATAAGCAAAATCATAATGGAATCAATGAAACTGTTTTACACAGCCAACCACAACATCACCCTTTTCCTTTGGCAGCTATTCTGGGCCAGTCAGAAGATGTTTGGGAGCTGCTTTTGGGTCATCATGACATGGATGAGGTCCAGCATTACGATTCACCAGCATCCATAGTGAATCAAGGCAGCAGCAAGGCAATCCTAGTGCGCTGGAGGCAGCTGATACTAAAGCAGAAAGGTATGCAGAAAGGTACAGCTGTAGGTATGCAGAAAGGTACAGCTATAGAAAGGCAAAAAGCACAGCTTTAGTTTTACTAAAGCTGCCCGGGTTTGCATGTCGAAAAGAGAACGGATGGACTTGACCATATATGGGAGACAAAGACAGGCTCAAGATGAGTTTTTTGTGAAAGGGTGAAAAATCGGTCATGAGACTTGCTAACTTTGCAGAAAGGAAATAGCCAAGGCTAAAGTTAAACTTGCCAAGATCAGCAGATGTTCTCAGCTGTATTTTGCATATCGACATCTTGAGATGTTTCCAAAAAGGGGCTTGCTTATTGAGAAACGAAACCTAAAAAGTGTATGATCTAATTGCTTAACGTATGTATAATATTGACAGCTCTTTTAACCAATGATTTAATCTTTGGGGCGGCCCTTAAGGCCGAACCCCTTTGTGTGTATAAATAACTCGAACCCATTGTGCTGGGTGGCTTCCCCTGGAGACACCCCGTTGTGTCGGAAGCCATCCTAGCAGCTGCTTGCTAAATAAACTCTGATTTCTTCTGAACCCAGTTGGCTGTTTTCCTGACTCATCTGCGCCTGCAAATCGGACTCAGTTTGAGCAGTTTGGCAAAGCCCTTGGGCAATTGCTCAGGGGAAGAGAAAAGCCTGCTTCATTTTTGGAGGTTCCACCGAGATCTATTCAGACAGGCCGAGAGTCCGGGGAAACAGATCTTGTTGGCAAGACGATTTTTTGATCAGCGGGGCAGGCTGGAGGCGACTGCCGTGAGCCGTGATAAAGGGGGCCCCCGACTGATAACCGGCTGCGACACTCCCCTCTTCTGTCGGTGCCGCTTGATCAAGGAAAATCGCAACTCTTCGGGTTCTTAAGAAATCAACTGGGAGTGGAGAAGTGGTAAAAAGGATCCAGGAGGAGGAAAGTCCGGGAGGCGAAGGTTGTTCCGACGTCTGCAGAGGCCCGGCAAGTATAAAGTGGTCAAGTAAGACACTAGGTAACACACACACCAGCGCTGGGGGGGAAAGGGGGACCACTAAGTAACCCGTGGGGTAGTGGGAGGACGGGGCAAACCTTGCGGTTCCTAAAACGTGCCGTCGAGTGTCCGGGCGTCTAGGCCAAGGTTTGCTCCCCACTAGAGGCCATGGGTGGGAGGAACTCAAAGGCAGTGACTCCGCTTCAGTGTATGCTAGACAACTTTGATAAGTTTGTAGCTGCATCGAGTCAGGAAGATCCAGGAGATCTTAAGGACCACAGATTAAGGAATCTGTGCACAGGAGAATGGCCCACCTTTCCTTTTGGGTGGCCTGCAGAAGGGTCGTGGGACCTAAAGAAGATTAGGCAGGTAGAAAAATTTTGTGCTAACTATCATCCGGATCAATATATTTATATTGATGCCTGGGACAACGTGGTGACCCAAAATCCTGATTGGGTCCAGAAGTGTAAAGAAGGTCAGTGTATGATGATAAGGAAGAAAGGAAGGAAAGTCAAGGTTAAAGTCCTTGCCCAGGAAGAAGAGCCGGTGGAGGAATGTAGTTACCGGGGGCAGCGATATGCAACTCCCAATGCACCCCCGCTAGCAGTGGCTCAAGGGCGCCCAAGGGTCCGTGGACCAGGAACGGACATTACCACCGCCTCCGTCATATGAGAAATGTACAGAGAAGGTGTCTGGAGAAGAAGGAGGCGAAGGACGAGGTCAAGAAAGAGGTAGAGGAAGAGGTAGAGGACGTGGAAGAGGCCGTGGAGGTTATACTCCGCACCAGAAGAGGGAAGCAGTAGTGGCTGCAATAGCAGAAGAAGAATGGGAGGATGCGGAGGAAGAGGAATGAACCGACCAGGCTCTCGTTTTGCTGGACCCCGGAGAGCCGATGGTCACTATAGAAGTAGGGGACCAGCAAGTTGACTTTTAGTGGACACTGGGACAGAACGATCAGTGGTGAACAAACTTATTGGTCCTACCAGCGCAGAAGTCACCAAAGTGGTGGGGCTGTCAGAAAAAATTCAGAAATGCCCTTTTCTACAGGAACGGACATGTAATCTAGCAGGCCATAATGTGAGTCATAAGTTACTATATCACCCTGATTGCCCAGTGTCATTATTAGGAAGAGACATTTTGTCAAAATTAAGAACACAAATCCAATTTTTGGACAATGGCCAAATGCTAGTGACAATACCCATGGAAGAGGAATGGAGGCTCGGGCTCCCAGACTTGGAAAAACCGTTCGACTTGTTCGTGTCCGAGAAGGAAGGAGTGGCTGTAGGGGTACTTACCCAGACATTAGGATCATGGCAGAGACCAGTGGCTTATCTGTCAAAACAGTTAGACACGGTAGCACAGGGAATGCCGCCCTGTCTTCGTGCAGTGGCAGCAGCGGTAGATTTGATAAAAGAAGCAAGTAAATTGACCTTAGGACAGCCACTGGCCGTTAAAGTACCACACCATGTAAAGGCGCTGTTAGACACCAAGGGACCACGCTGGCTCACAAATGAGAGACTGACAAAATATGAGGGGGTGTTGTGTGATAACCCAATGGTGACCCTAGAAACTTGTGCCACCTTAAATCCGGCCACCTTGTTGCCTGCCCCAGGAGAGGAAACAGTCCACCAGTGCATTCAGGTGATGGAACAGGTATATTCCAGCCGACCTGACTTAAAGGACGTACCAATGTCCAAGGCAGACATGACCCTGTTCACGGATGGCAGTAGCTTCATGGAGAACGGTGAGAGGCGTGCAGGATATGCGGTGGTACAGGGGGGGGGAGAGATTCTGGAAGCAGAGTCGCTCCCTCCGGGAACCTCCGCTCAACGGGCTGAATTGATAGCCCTCACCAGAGCACTGCAGTTGGCAAAGGGAAAACGGGTCAATGTCTACACGGACTCAAAGTACGCCTTTACTACGCTCCATGCCCATGGAGCTTTGTATAAGGAGCGGGGACTCCTTACGTCGGCTGGAAAGGGCGTTAAAAATGCGGCTGAGATTGTGGCCCTCCTGGAGGCGGTCTGGGACCCGGATAAAGTGGCTGTAATGCATTGCAAAGGGCACCAAAGGGGAGAGGACCCAGTGACACAAGGTAATAGGCTAGCTGATTTGGCCGCAAGAGAGGCAGCTAAGCACCCCCACAATAAACAGCACATGATGGCTGTGACAGTAATAGAAGATCCCCCATTAGAGAAATTTACATACACAAAAGAGGAGGAAAATTGGGCTTTGGGGGAAAAAGGAGAATGAAAGGGAGAGGTCATTGTGATGCCAGATAACCGCGTTTATGTCCCTAAGGATATGGCGTGGCACATAGTCCGACATATGCACTCCAACACACACCTGGGTAAGACAGCCCTAGCTAAGCTGCTGGAACGGCAAATGTACATTGATGGACTCCATAGCCTGACATCAGCAGCAGCACGCAGATGCTGGACATGCGCCAAGAATAATCCTCGAGAGGGACCCTTAAAGCCACCAGGAATTCAACACATAGGCAACGTCCCATTCGAGGCAATTTTGACTGATTTTACTGAGATGCCCCCGCAAAAGGGCTACAAATATTTGCTTGTTTTTGTGGACACCTACACCGGGTGGGTAGAGGCATACCCAACCCGAACTGAAAAGGCAGTAGAAGTTTCAAGAGCACTTTTAAAGGACATAATCCCCAGATTTGGAATACCATTAGAAATAGGGTCTGACAACGGTCCAGCTTATGTACACAAGGTGATTCAAGGACTATGTCAAATACTGGGCACAAAATGGAAATTGCATTGCGCTTATAGACCCCAGTCCTCAGCTAAAGTTGAGAGAATGAATCGGACTCTAAAGACTGCCATGTCAAAAAAAATCTGTCAAGAGACAGGGCTGGGGTGGACTGTAATATTGCCCATGGTACTATTAAGAATAAGATGTACCCCTCACAAAAGAACAGGTCTGACCCCCTATGAGAGACTACATGGCAGACCACCATTAAATTTGAGGTCGATATTGGACAAAGGGGGAGACCAACATGTGATTGGAGATAAACAAACCATTCAACAAGTGCAAGCCCTGGCTAGACAGATAAAACAAATTGCACAATATACTTCAGAGTTAAATCCACCCTATCCTACCACACCTTTGCATTGTTTTTCGCCAGGTGACGAGGTGCTTGTGAAAGAGTGGAAGATTGACTCACTAGGACCAAAGTGGAGAGGGCCCTATACTGTGCTGATATCAACCCCTACTGCCATTAAAGTGAAAGAAGTTAAGCCTTGGATACATTATACCCGTGCCAAGCTGGCACCCCCCGTGTGGGAGATTAAAAAGGCAGATCAGAGTGACCTGAGACTCAGGATCGTCCGGCAACTCCCTAAGGGGTCAACAAGGCCATGAAGCTGACCTCTTCGGGAACAACAGATCGTCGCAGGTCAAGTATGACGCAGCGTGGCCCAACGAAAGCCCTATTTGGAAGTGGTGGATAGAGATTATAATGGGGAGGAGGAAAGAGTGCCCTAGAAAACCAGTTGGGGTTCGGACGGTTTTCGGGTACATGATGCTTATAAACATGATCACTATGATACAGGGAAATTGGCTAAAAGAACATGCCAGATTCATGTTTGATCAGCATGGAAAAGATGTGGCACTCCTATATGAACATCCAGAGAAAGTAGGTGACTTCTCTTTCCTCCCTACACTAATAGCCGACCCCCAGGTGGTGCTCGGGGGGTTACAAGGAACTATTCAAAATCCCACCATATTTTCCCAGGTCCCCGATGGATTAAAACACATTAAATTCAGACGAATAAGATATACTGCCACCACGAGGGGAATGTGTTTTTGTTGTGCAAACAAGGGTACATGGAATCAAAAATGGAAAGGCTGGGAACACAGAAAAGCCTTCCTAACAAGGTTGACAAATTACACTCACTGTCAGGACAAGTTTTATTTGTATGGAACCTATAACTCTACATATGTTAACAAACAAAATTTGGCAGACACGGATTGGAAAGAACTATACCCTGAGTACCCACTGTTTGAGTCAAATTACACGTCCCTGAGAAATGGAGGCAGTATTTGTTCAGGATGGCATATTAGAGATCCCAATATGTGGTTTTTCTTTGATAAATGGGCAACCAATTTTCATCCAGGAGGAAACCAGTGTGTTGGGGTAGGATACCTGACATTCCCTGTACGAGTCCTTAAACACCCTAGGAGGCTTCAGAGATCTTTGAAAGCCATAGCACCCCTAGGACCTGAGTGCTCAGACGAAGTGATTATAGACTCACAACTGTCCGAAACTGAAGGCTCAAGGGTAGGAGGAGGATTAATAACAGGGCTCCTAACCCTCGGGTCCTATCCTGGAATAATGGCCCAAGAAAACAGGAAAAGTATCATGGGACTCACATGTAGATTAGAGAAAAGCATAAATGCCACAGGGAAAATAGTTAGGCAGTTGCAATCAGAAATTGAAGAACTAAGCCAAATGACAATGCAACACAAGCTAGCCCTAGATTATTTGTTGGCAACAAAAGGAGGATTCTGTTCTGTAATAAAGGGCCAGTGCGTGGTCCAATTTCATAATCTGAACCAAACAATTGAAGATGATTTGGAAAAATTGCAAGAGTTAATAAATCATAATGTAAAGTTAGATAGATGGCAACCTTTCTCATGGTTGACGTCTCTGCTTCCTTCAGTATCATGGCTTAGAGAAATAATACTTGTGA